TCTAGCTGGACTATAGCTTGTTTCGTAGTAACTCAAAGCTGAACTACAACGGTCCATTATTTTTTGAGGCAGTTGTGCTGAAATCAATAGTACAACTACATCTTTGTGCAAAAAAGTCTGAAAATGAAGTGTCAATTCAGTGAAATAAGTCATCAATGAGCGAAATTAAATCAACACGTAAAAAATAAAGAACTGAAAAATACGAGCACTTTTGACGGGAGTGATGAAGTGATTGTTGTAAGCTGCTCGTGTTGCTTGAATATTGTTTAACTGATGAAGAGTGTTGTTTATAAGGTGTTGATGTTTTGTTTTTTCCAAATTTCGAGAATAACCCATCCACGAAACTTGGGTGTCCGTACTGTGATGTTTGAGTTGATAGTGATATTGTCGTTTCCTGATACCTTTCTTCATCAACAGGGTGATAATAGATTAAAGAGGGAGGCTGCAAAATACGTAAAAGTGACACTGAACGGTGATAAATGATATAGTTAATTCCGAATCTACAGTTTTGGTTCTTTAATGTGAAACTTCTTGATTTCAGAAACTTAACTATTGTGAAGCATCATACCATTTGCAAGTAGTATTCACTTTAAGATTAAATATTTACAATTAATTTGTAAAGCTCAAGAATTGTAAAATAGACTATATTTACCGAAATCATATTTTACTTGATTTCATTGTGTAAATAAGTGACAACATAAAACTTAAGGTACATAATTTTTTTAACAGAACATGGCACCTGTTTATAGCGCCGAGTAGCTGTAGATTTCAAAATTTTTGCATACCAAGGACCGGGACCTGTTTCAGTTGAACAGTAAAGCCGAGTATTATACTTTGTCAAAGATTTTAGCAACGATTCAGGCAAATATCGCTGGATATTTGTACAACATGAATTTGTGTTTTGTACAACTGCTAGAGGCGATATATTTTCCTGAATAATTTCATATCACAAAGAATACCACAACATATTGTCAGTGAGATTCACATAGAGAGTGATTAAAATACAACATACGTTGGATGGATTTGAATTAGCATTTTTAAGGAAAGTGTTCAACAAGCTTTCAAGGTCAACAGCTAATCGCTGAACAGATAAACTGCCATATTTGTCGCAATTTTTTCGAAGTTTTTCCACGTACTGTCTTGCATCACCTATCATTTCAAATATCTCGCGAATTAGTTTAGCCTGTTTCTGTATTCGTGCCAATTCATTTCGTTTTAAATTTAATTCCACTTTACATCGCAATAATTCATCTTCTGCCTGAAACTACAGTTGTATCTGTAATTGTCAATCGATGATTGAAGTAAATATAAAATACTCATTATTCGTAACTGCATTCACCTTATCAATCACCTTACTATTAAATGACATTATGATTACTAACGCCAATTCCATCAGCTCGCGTTCACCAGGTGATAATGTACAACTGCACGGATTCGCTGTTAAGACCGTACCCTATTAATTATCGTTTCTGCTAATTTTTGTTTAATTACTATTGGCTGTTTATCTCATAGGCCAAAAAATCACAATAACCTTTTGCAAACAGAACTTCTCTTCACTAATTTTGGAATATTTCGATTCTATATTTGTAGCATAATATATTTTTTGTCGAATCCTATCGCCAATTGTCACCTTAATAACTGGACAAATAAAAGAAAGCGATGAAGTGAAAACATAAAAATTTTTGAGATTCAGGAAGTATAATAGCGGGAAGATGATATCCATTCTCATACTAATCACACTTATTAAGGCCACATTATCTTACTGATATATTTTTTGATAAATAACGAATTGCTCGGAGAAGTTTCTGTCGTCCAAAACTGTCGATACCGATGCACTAAACACTGCACATAAGCATGATGATAGAATCATAAATAGATAACTCAATTACTATCACACTAAATTTAATTTGCAACTGACAAATAGTAATCGAAATTATTTGAAAAATAATATTTCTGATATCTTTTGAAGTGGTACATATTTCTGATATGAATAACATGTGGATGTTTGTAAACAATCATGAATAAATATACCTTTAAATCAGCTTCCCTTAATAGCCTTAAAGCTGATGCTTGAACGATATCCGCTTTCGCAAAAAGTGGTAAATATTCAGACATATTTAAAATGAATAAAACTTCTTCTGTTGTTCGCGCACATTTCAGTTTCTCTTTGATCGACATTTCCTTAAATAGAAATTCAGCATAATTTTTGAGTAATAGAAAATTGAAGAGTGTAATCTCTCTTCCGTCCAAATAAATTAAATAAAAGTATGAAGAAACTGTTTTTGGCATTGGAACAGAGCTCCACGTAGATATATATATATATATTCCCTCCAACTTCATTTTTGCTCTGCCATCTAACTTCTTTTCCTATCGGAAGAGTTACTTTTAAATATTTTCAAGAAGTTTCAGGATGTTATGACCTCCCAAAGTTTCCACCATTAATATATACTGAGCGACATGACAGCTTTAGAAAATGATGACCCTCATACTTTTGATTATGCTTTCACATATTTTGATTAGCCGTCTTTGGTGAATTGAGAGCATCAATTATGATTTAAAGTAATAAGCGTAAATTAAACTTGACAACAGACTAAAATTTTAAGCGCTCGACTAGATTCAAAATAAATTCATTATTTATTGCCATTTGACCACTCATTTTAAAAACCTTAAACATAAGAATCTTTTCATTCTAATATAATGCAATTATAAGGTTACTAGTTTACCTGGTAGGCCATAAAGAGAAATCATGGTATTCTTGGAGTCATTCATCCACAACCCTTGTCAGCTCCTCCTACTATCTGTGGTATATTTTCCAAGTTTGCAAGCAGGTTTTTTCTCCTCGTAGTTTAAACACACTTCTACCCATCAGTTGTTCTTAATTATCGATCGCTTGCTGCTGCTCATCACCTTAAAACAACTAACTAACTAGCTCGCCAACGATTAAATACGTTTTAAAAGATTCAATAACCTATTGATAATCGTATGAATCAGTTACAAATTCATGAATTTGCAATACTTCTGTCCATGCTCATTCACTTTAATTGTTCATTCAATTACTACTACATCTGTGTAATATGTCCATTTACCCACCCAAAATGCTTAATTGTTCAATAAAATGAAAAAACTTTATTTGCATAGCAGCAAAGGTGAAACTTTTCGGAATAGAAATCGTATGTTTCCTTTTGTCAATATTGAATGGCAAAGTTCAACCGCAAAAGGAATCGATTTGAGCAGCCTTATTTAGAGAACTTATTGCAACTTGACGTGTGATATTCATGAACAATCATTTAAGAAAAATAGTAAACTTTAAGAAAAACCGACACAACTATTAATAGGAACCATATTTCAGCATCACTCATAATGACCATTCTCTTGAACAGCTACTTATTTATAAGTTTTCAAATAGAATTCATATTTTTCTCTTATAAAATTCATATTTTCATACTTCTCCCATATTTTTCTTCTATTCAAGACCGGACTCTGTAGAAGATATAACAGCACTTACTTTTTCTAGAATACTAAATGTCAACACATAGCGCTATAGTAAACCATTTTCAAAATAAAACCAAGTGATAGACATTCCCCCCTATCCAATTGTCATACGAACGTTATTATATTTTTGAATTTTATTTTCAGCAGTTTGTTCACTTTAAATGAATAAAACATTGTTACTGCTGTTGCTGATTACAGATTTTCTTCTTGTGTATTCTATTACGTGTTACAAAGTAAGTCATTTTGAAGCGAACGTTTTACCTCGAAAGCATGATAGAGCGAAGTTCAAAGTATTGCATTCTGTAAGCTCCGAAATCTCTTAGCACTCGTTATCTTGGCATGATATATTGCTAAACGTTGTTAATTTCAAATGAAAAAATAATAAAGTGCATAATCGGACAGTACTAGCTGAATTTCCTTAATTCAGGGATTCCGAATTATTCGAGGCCAAGTATTTGGTACGGAAACCGAAGAATGTGAAAATGAAACGGCTTACTGCTATAATATGACCGCCGAAACCGCATTAGTTTTAAAGATTATGAAAGCTGGTTGTTCAACCTATAGGTGCATGGTAAATCTTTTGCTTATCAGGAATATATGTTAAGTCTGAAACTGAAATCGGGAATTAATAAGAATACATAAAATACATAAAAATCACATAAAATCCAAACAAATGCGATATGCAAGATTTCCCGAAACCTCACAAAAACAACCATTTTATTCAGATATTTTTATAAAATTTCGGTAAATATGACAAAATAATCTTTTCAGTTATCAGCGAACACATGCCGAAGTACAACATTCCAAGGTGTACCTATCAGCTTCTGCTGTTGCAATGAACATGATCTTTGTAATTATAATAAGGAATAAAATTTGAGGAGAGTTGTTTGATTGAAAGAACAATAATCTTTTGTGAAAGTAAGATGCCATCATGACAAAAATCCATTATTCTTGCTTCACCAACTAGTAGCGAAACTAGGCATTTAATGGAACAAAGTAAGGAGTACAACTGAACTTGTAAGTATTGGCATGACGCCTCGAATTGAACAAGGACCAGGAACCTTCTATATAAAAACATGGATCGCAAATATAACAATTACTCGCAATAAGAACAAGTTTTGATAGGATTATTAATTATTTTAGATTTGTAATTTTAAACTACATTAATAATCCCATATGATAGGTGTAACACTCTACAATACTTTTAAACTAAACATACTAAGGTGAACAATTTTCATGTATGGCTTTCTGATATGAATAACATAAATGAGAAGTATGGTTTTGAAGGTCCATTACAGGCTTACTAAATATAAAGTTGCTTCAAATACAGTGATATAACCATATAAACGATAAAATCGCGGTGAACACGTAAGTGATAAGATCACGTTAATGCATCATATTACATTTTAACATTAAGTTGAACTCACACGCTCCCTAATACATGCACGCTACTGAGTTAATTCTGATATTCTGTATTCAAAATTATGCCCACCTTTAACTATTAGCTAATGATTTTACAATCTAAGAAAATAAGTCGTCAGCATTTACTACCACCTTCACTACGACATACATCATGTTTCAGTAGATATGAGACAAAGGAGAGTCGAGTTCATTACTCAAATCGCACCAACTGCCTCTTACTAATACGTGGTACACGTTCAGATGTGAACACGTCTGCGTCACCCCCCACTCTTGTCGCCCTCCGCTTCTCTGTCCTCTGCTTCCGCATTGCTATGAAAATTGCAACAAGTCAACAGTTTTCTCGTGTTAATGTGAATTTAAAACGCTGCAACAGATTAGAATGGTTTTACAGGTTCTCAGAAGTTTGATAATATGCCAGAAGGATGAGGCATAGGAGAGGTGAGCCCATTAGGCTCGTTCTCTTCTCTTAAACTGCGAGAGATTGGGTGGGTTGGTCTATGAGTTCATCCTTTGGTTTCATTTCCAAGATTATCTTAACTGTTAGTTTGCATCTCAGAGATTTGCCAAAGGGCGGCGGTGTGTGGAAGATTGAATGGAAACCTCCCATGTCGCTTATTTTTAGTGTATTCTCAGGTGTTATGATGAAGTATTTGGCTGCTTATTTATTATCTACAATGAGTGGAAATAAATCACCGACAGCAAAAGATATAGAGGATGTGCTTGGTAAGAAATATTTTTTCTTTCGAGCTTCCTTTTGTTCTTCAGATTATATTCTTCCCAATGAATATTATATAATTTTCTCAATCCAAATACGAACGTTCTAATGTTTTAATATATTTTTGGTAAATTAAACTCCGATCAAAATCTTCAGTAGTTTCTTATATAAACGTGTAGTACTATATATATTTTGTATATATTTGTATGCAGAGATTGTCGAAACTACCGCACTATGTATGGAGCAATAATAAAGGATATTTAAGTTTGTATAATGATTTGCTGTTTTACAGGATCAGTTGGACTTGATGTTGATATGGAAGATGCGAATAAAGTCGTGTCAGCCTTATCTGGGAAATCCATTGATGAGGTATATCTTTTCGTTATGCTGCTGAAAATTAAGCATTCTGGAAATTCGTCTTTCCATGAAATTCCTTTCATGTATTTTTGCTGTAAGTTTAATTCATATGACATGAGGTATCCAGAAATGCCATTGCTCTAAGCGCTTGGTTGTCTACGTGTTTCTTTTTGTGTGAAGTCTGGTCCCATCAGTTTCTTTCATAGAGCACATTAATCCTCGTTTTCGACATTATTTAGTTATGATTAGATCTGAGTTGATATTTTCTACTTGGTAAGTTCTATACAAATTCAGTATGTTTTGATAAGTTCTGGCATTTTAAATTAGATTAATTCTTAGCAATGGCGTGAGTGTTTAAAGAAGAGCTCAATAAGCTTGGAAATCAAAGTGACAAGAACAATTGCAATAGGATATGTTACTTTAAAAATTGCAGGTAATTACAGCAGGTCTGGCGAAGATCTCGTCAGTGCCTTCAGATGCTGCAGTGTCAGCAATAGCTCCAGTCGTTTCAGCAACTCCCACCGGTGCGTTACAAGCGGAATCTAAAAAAGGTGCAATATTCGGTTCAATTTGAGATTTCTTGAGATTACATAAATTGTTTTTTCAATAGAAAAGGAATGCATTTGCAGAAGAGAAGAAAGAAGAACCGAAAGAGGAATCTGACGAAGACATGGGATTTGGATTGTTCGATTAAGCCTTTCACTGTTTTTCTTATTGTTATGTTATTCATGTGTGCGTTTCAAAATTCGGATTATAAACCTTCACAAACCATGTACATCTTGTATTCAATTTATCCATAACTCAGGTAGATGGGCAGGCAGGGAAGACATGGTTAATTAGCGTCGTGACAGTGTCATTTAAGAAAAAGAGATTCGAAAATTCACATAGCTAAGAAGTGATAGAATAATCAAGTTGGACGGCGTGACTGCGCATCACGCCTATCAGTTTTGACCTTTCACGTTGGCAGTGAAATTCTTCACAAATTTTTTATGCGGAATTCGACATAAGCATTTTTATGAAAAGGGGAATGTACGGCACATGGGAGCACACACGATGGCAGGGACACGATGTGAGATAAAGGTAGAATTGTGCAATCGTCTAATGCTTTCTCTGGCCGGTCCGTCTGTCTACCTCTTTGTTTTCCAACATCACGGGCCTCACTCGACCGACAAGTCCGCCGTGTTTGTCAATCCAACGGACGGGTGCAACTCTGGATGTCTCTAATCGATGTGTGCAGAGTGGGCAGTGCTTGAAGAAGGCGCCCATCTACCGTATGCCTTTGCTTATAACAAAGCAAGTGGTGCAACCATCGTGCAGCGCGGCAGTGTCGCTCGCATTAATGCAGCGGACGTGGATCGCTTGCGAATGCGGTCGGTCGCATGGTGGAAACGTTCGCAAGCACTGCAGTGGAAGGACAGAGACAAAGAGGAGGGGAAAGGGTCGATGGTGCTGCTGCTGTTGTCGCTGCTGATGCCGCTGCTTTGCTCCGCCGCTGGCTTCTGCAAGTGTTGCATCGCGTTTAGTATTGTAAGAGCAGTGCGATGTGGCACGCACGCTGCGTCACGTGGTGGTTGTTTTCCCTAAAGGATTACTTAACTTGTTCCTCCAAACGATATCTCCACGAAGTCTTTTTACCACTTGTTTGCTACCCTTGGAACAGTGCCAACCCGGTCTGACCACTCCGTACTGTGTACTTGTGTGTATGTGTGTTAACCCTTGCTAGTACTAGGACTGCGGGTGACACTCTCTTCCCGGTAGATATATATTGTAGTGTGGCGTTATGTGGTGCAGAAGTATCAGTGTAGCAAGGCAACATTCTGGCCAACAGCCCAGCTGCATTACATCCATTCAAATGTGACGGTCACTCCTACAATTCGTTGTTGCCGGGAATTACTTTAACAATGGTTTACCATATTTATGTTGATGCATCACGCTTAGCTAGCAGGTAGTTCACCTCTTGTGCTAGTGGGCAGTGGGTATAGCGTGTAGTGATGCGTTGTTAGGCCCTTAACTGATGATCAGTCATTACTCGTAAATATGACTTAGATTCTTCTCCACGACAGCCTATTAGACTATACACGGACATTTCATTATTCTCTTTTTAATTTAGATTCCAAGTTTTATAACCAGATTCGACTCATAATATATTACTGATTGCCTAGAAAGGTCACTTGTCTTCTCTCCCTAATTTCATTTAATGTTCATGCTAACTTCACTTCTGGTTAATAAATATCGATCTGATGAGGATGGTAAATAAGCTGCTTCGTATTACTGTGACGTCTCCGTGAGGAGACATTATATGTTATCAGTGTTTATTTCTTTTTCTCTTTCTTTTTCTTTTGTTTCCAAGCTTAAGCTTACAATTTAGTTTTTATCATAGTTTCTCATATCAGATTAAGTGTGCATGCATTCTTCACTCTTGCGTACATTGAATTATATAAAACAATTGTAATTTGACTGACATCTAGTATGATCGGTGTTATTGGTGTACTTCTGAAGTATAAAATAGAAACTAATTTGAAAGTTGATATAGGTGTGTGTGGAGCGTGTTATAAACTATATGCAGTTGGATGACAACTAGTCTTTTGTCTGGGTCTTTATTACTAACAGAAGTCGTACTTATGATATGCAGCGATTGGAACTCTTCCGATCTTGAGTGCATCAACAGGCTGTTAACGATTTCTTGCTTTGATTAAATTTAAAATGTAATCCTTTATCTATGAATTTGTAAAGTATACATTCAAGGTTGCGCAAATGTCATTGTTGATTAGCAGTAAAACGGTAAATTGGGGATGACAGAGCAGATAAGAGACTTTCTCTATCAAAAAATCTGAAGGTGTGAATGGACAAAATAAACGAATAACGTACGATGACCCGAGAAATGGGATGAGTTGATAGTAAGATGATGGGAAGATATTATTACTAAGTGGGCGCTGTTTAAATATTTTGTTATTCACATTTGAAGAATATGTCAATTTTTGTGAACTCTCCTCTTGTTATCGTTTCTCGTTATTGTATAAATTTTGGCTATACATTCGTCGTGAAGGTTGTATCAGGTGAATTTGATTGCTTATGTAGATGGATGTGGGCATATTATAAACTATGCACAGTTGGATGACAGTTTGATTTTTTATTGTTTTTTTGATCTTTACTCATGATGCATGGGTATGATTGTGAAAAGAAAAGGACTGAGAACTTTACACTTATGTTTGGATAACTCCTTTCTTAACCGGTAACCGAGATGAACGAGGCGATAGCGGTAAGCGTTATCCGACATACTCTGTAAGGAAGAAAAATGTGCTGTAATGCATTTCCAATTTTACAACTGCTAGGAAACATACGAATATTTTAACAGAAATGAAGTTGAAGTGAGAACAGAATGGTAGGTATTATGTTAAAACTATGAAGAATTTCTTAAAATTAAGCGATTAATCTTTTGAACATAAGAGGGACTAATAGAAAAGACTACAGTAGAATTGATTGTAATATAGTTATTGTCGCTTCTTTACCTACTTTTTTATGTACGTATAACGAAATATTGGGATATTAATTGATTTATCTATTGTTCCATTTTTCAGGTTCCTGTTAGTCTAATGAACGCGGCCAAAATTCGGCGGTGAAAAGCTTTTCGCGCAAAATGCAAGTTTAAAAAATGATATTTGCTTTATTCGTTGGTGTTTTTTTATGCTTGCTTCATGTGGTTTCTTTTTAGGTTTAAAAGTGCATTCTATGTTAAAATTAGGGGTTGAAGTTTTCGTAAAATCATTTTCCTGTACTCTCTGCTATAAATTGGTTCCAGTTGTATAAAATTCATCTTCTATATTCTAAATAGGGATCTGTAAACATTACTGTAATTTATAAGTGAAAAAATTATATTTAGATAGTCTTCTTTACAGCGTCTTATGAATGCCGCATGAACGAACAGTGGTCGTGTGCCGGTATTTGTGTAGAACCGCAATCTGAACAGCGGTCGCTTGGTACCAACCAACAAGCAACAGCAGAAACACATAATCTATCTGGAACTGATAGGACAACTCCGGCAGCGTCCATTTCAACGACAACAACTCCAATAAATTTTCCAAATTGTTCATCACCCTCTTCATCGTCACATCCTGATTGCGTCACTGGCTCTACAAGCCTTTCAAATTCATCAGCGGTTGACGGTCGTGTATTGATTCCTTGTTCTACAGTGTCATTAAACAAAGGTCAGTACTGATAAAAAATATTTTGTGTGCTTCAAATACAATGCATTAGTAGTCTTTAAGTTGAAGTGTTCTCTGATTTATTGTAAAGCCAGTGCTGTAGTATGAGAAACATTTTTACGTCTAGCGGTTTTTGATTTCTAACCACGTTTATTTCTGTTACGAGGAAAAAAGGTAAAGAGCTTGAAAAACTTTTTTCAAAAAATTAAAACCAAATATTTTTACAAGAATGTATTGACAAGGTGATCGTAAGAGCTTATCAAAGGTGAAGGTTTCAGTGTTAATGCATTTATAACATATTAAGATTATTTTCAGTGGAAGAACAGAAGAGCAATAGCTGCAGTTATGAGCCTTCATCGAGTGTACCAACGGATAATATCCTTTTGTCGTCCAGTTCAGGAACGCTGACAGACGAAACCTATCCATCTACTAGTACAGCTGATACCAGTATTTTTGACGAGAAAGCAACGTTGCAGGATTGTCAGTTGTCTCGACTTATACGTCGTCGGTGCAGATTTTTACTACCGTCTAATATTTCCCATAAATTACTGCGGATAGCATTGAAACAACCAACTACATTGAAACATTTAAGTATGATTTCAATGTTACAAACTTTTATTTGGAATTTGTCTCACTTGTTGTAGAATTTAAAATGAATTGCAAAAAAGTGACAGAGATATGCTAAGTTGTTTAAGATTCGATTCATTTGATCTTAGTTTCTTCAAACCTTGATGCATGATGATCTGCTTATACAGTGGCAAAATCTGGGTTTCTTGTCACGAATATTCCAAACTTTATTTTAAGAGATAGGATTAGGTGGTGATAATGTCTGCAATAAAAGTGATAATTTCTTTTACTGCTTTTTAATTCCTTTCGGTACTGTTTCTTCGAAGTGCTTAAAAAAATCTTGCGACTTGAAATACGCAATTCAGTCTCACATTTTTAGGTATAACCTCAGTGAAAGTGGGCGAATCAAATCTGTTACCAGTGGTTGTGAATGATGCAACACTAAGCCTTCTTTCACTTCCATATCCCAGCACAGGTTCTGAAATGAATTCCTTGGCTGGTGTACCAGTGAATGCTAATGCTACTGATAGAGCAAATATTTATGATCCTTATCAAAGGTACGTTTTTCAATTGAAATTTTCCAGAATTTTGCTTTTTTTTTTTTTCTTTTTGAGAATCAATCTAATGCTTTGAAATCTCTTTTTAGTGGAAAGTAAAAGTTCTTCGAATCAATAGTTACATTTTTCATTTGTTTGAGGATATGTGCATCCATTATATGTACTGCTTTACAGTGAGAATGGTCGACATGAATTGACGCCATCAACTTCAGCTGGTCATATACCAGGTAAACGAAAAGCTGGTGTAATTAATAATGATATATATCAAACAGGAGTTGGGATGCATGGTTATATGGGGACAGTTAGTGGACAATCCAATGCAACTAATACAGTGGCTTCTGTAAAGCAGCAGCAATCTCAGACTACATCTAATACTAGCAGCCCATTGTTGGTTAATTTATTAAGGTAATCCCAGAGGGACATTTATTCACATTGCTAATCACGGTGCAGCTTAATTTTCTTTCTCTTATTCACTGTATTTTTACGTGTGATGTTCAATCTTGCTGTTTCCCTCTTAAGGCATATTATTATCTTTCCATCCTTGTTTTTATGCGCTATAATTAATAAATGCCAAGTGCAGACAGCAACAGCTTTGTCTTGAACATTTCTCGTTGCATGCACTTGAGTGTTGATGGAGCTAACCAAATTTAACGGTTATATTTTTTGCGATACAATTCTACTGCTACACAGAACTGCCATAAATTTGTAAATCTGAGCATCATTATGCTGAATTATTTATTAACGTTGTTAAATCTTCAGAAGTTCATCACCAGTTGCTAACGCTGGTATGCATAATTTGCAACATACACATATGTCGCGTCCTTCTGCTGCTCCGATAATGCAGCACATGTCAGCCCCTTCTCCACAAACTCAGGGAACTGTTGGTATGATACCTTTTTTCTTAAAAAACCTTAATTCCGGCATGCAAGCACATTTCGGTTACATTGAAGCTGCTTGTTTATATTATAAATAGAAGCTGAAGGAGGATGAAAATTTAAAAAATTTTTAATGTATGCAGGTTATTCGTCATATCCGTACATGGGACAAAGCACAATGAATACACCAGTGCAGCCTGGTCGAATGCGTCCTTCAGCAACTTCAGTGGAAGTTTCTCACTTAACTACCTCAACACATGCACATTCTGAACAACAGCAGATGCGGCCAACGCAACAAGAGGCATGCTTTTTTGTTTTTGGTTTTTTCGACACATCAACTGCCACTTGGCAGTGACAGCGTACAGTGCAGATAATTCTTTTATAAAAGCCCATAAATAGAGTGTACTGGATTTGCTCTGATGCTCCGTTTTAGGTTATGTCTGTATTGCTGTTATTATCTTTCGAACCGATGGTAGATACTGTATCACATTGTGTATTCCAGGTCAATATGGAAAGACATCAGCAAGTAGTTGCTACACAACAGCAGAGTGCACCAGCGCAGCAGTTACCTCAGGCATATTATCCTCAATACAACCAGAGACGTCCAATGCTCGCTGTAGGTTTTAAATGATGTTGTTTGACTTTAGCAATGATTTCTTATTTTCATTTTTTCCATGACCAATTAAAAATGTAATGACATTTCCACCTATAGTAATATATATATATGTAGTAAGGTTGAAAATTTTAACCAGATATCTTCTCCGTTATTGATAGCATACATAAATCGTGATTCAAGTATAAGAAACTTTAATAGATGATTTATTTCGCATAAAGAGATGCTTATATCATGATATTTTTAAGGGCTTCACAGTCCGCGGACAAATACCGCAACAGCATGCTGTTTATGCACAGCAGGGACAAATGATGCCTCCTCATTACATTCACGTGCAGCAGCAACCAAGACTTACTGGACAGCCATTGCCAGTTCATTTTCACCAGACAGTCTCTTTGGAACATGTAAGAATTTCTAATTCTAACAAAACGAAAAGGATATTTTTTACGATTCTTTGTCCTATATCTATTTATTCATTTTGCTATTGCAATAAATTACCACATTTTGCATGCATTATTCCGATTTTACAATTTAAAAAAAATTCATCTAGTATATCACTGTTTGTATATATTTTGCATTTAAAATTTGAAGTATTTGCAAGAAAGTCACGTTCTGTTTAAGGATGCTGGCAGTCAAATGTCTGTTGCTGCTCCTCCTCCCAAGAAAAGAAAGCGACCAACTAAAAAGCAGTTGAAGGAAGCTGAAATAGCGCAACAAGCGGCTGCTGCTGCGGCGCAACAGCAATTCATAATGGAGCAGCAGATGAATAGCCGAGTGCCTTCTGCAAATGCTCATACGGTGGATAGGCCTACTGTCATGTCACAGGTTACATTAATGTTTTTTTTCATTAGTTTGTAATTTAATTGCGATGCTTTATGCAGATTTGTTGAAATACCTATGATTAATCAAAATGTTGGTGTTTTGAACTAAATGGCTCAATTTCGGAAGCAATATAATAAGGAGGTTTTTGGTATTCAGTCCCGAAAACCTTCTGTGGTAGATTATTGAGATCCTACTGACGTACTCCGGTTCTATAAAGTAACTGGTCTGTAAGCCTTCGTCCATTCAATTAAGGAGTTAAATTGGTGTACAATGATAAGTCTTGGTTTTCAGGTAATGCATAGTGGTCAGCCAAGTGTCGGCATAACTTATGCACAGCATCCGCAAGGGTATCCTTCACAAACACTTCGTTCTCCTCCGGCTGTTCCTGCACAAACTGGGCCAATAATGCAGGTTGTTCATTAAAAGTTTTTTGGCAGATTTGGAATTGAGGTTATATCTTTAAATTCTAGAACTTTTTTGCGCGATTTTTCATGATTTATTTCTCAACCCCTTGTTTTATGTTCTCTTTTCGAATCCTTCGAGAAAAACATACCTGAGAAGCAATTTGTTAATTTTAAAAACTTTCAGAATCCATCTTCAAATCCTTCTTTTTATCAGCAACAAAACGTTTGGGTTCCACAGCACCAGCAACAAGTACGTTTTGGGTCTTTTTTCATGATTTTTCAGTAAGAAGAAGTAAAGAAGTTTTAGCAATCCATTTTAAGTATTTTATTTTTTTGCTATCTTCTTGACCTTCCTTCATAGAAACTTGTACGTGATTGTTTTTCTTGAATTAAAAAGCAGTCGCGAAAATGCTTTTTTACTGTTGTTTCTTTGTGCTTTTATTTTTTATACTATTTGTTCGTTATTGCTTTTTTTGTTTGCTTAAAATTAGTAGTGTTAAAGACATGTTCTTATGTTTTTAAAAACGTAAATTTTAATAAAATGGTTCTGAATTTCAGATTATGTCACAGCAGCGTCCACAGATAATGTATAGTGGTCAGATGCATCATCATTGGCAAAACAGTCAATCGCATCATTCGCGAATGATTTATCCTCAAACAGATAGTGGTTTGTTTATCAAAAAAATGAAATTTCTCATGCTACTGCATATGTAATGTATACAATCATCTGAAACATTCTCAGTAAATAGAATTATTTTTGGATTTTAGTTGGATTTACAATATTGGGATATGTGATGAATTATTATAGTGAATATGGGAAATAAGCATATTACTACAGTGCAACAAATCTTAACTTAATAGATCATGCAAAAGTTGAAGTCAGTGCATTTACGATCAAAACAGATCTAAATGAAGGAATGGCTGCTCCTGTTTTGAAATGGTTCTATTGCAGTATCCGAGATGAGTGCTGGTTCATCTGGCAGTGTCCATACATCTCCTATGACTAGTCGGAATGCGTCAATTGACTATTCGCCAGCATCACAGTCTAGCAGCACGATGTCGCCACTATATCAGCAACAACAAGTAAGTTTAGTATTTTCATGAACTGCATAATTTTTATTTGTTTAGCAACTTTCACTCTACGGTTTTTGGTGAAGTTAAGGTTCCAACCAAGCTTAATTATGATTTCAGCCAAATATGACCTACCAGCAGCCACCAAATCAACAAACACCTCCATCTGCTTTAACTTATTCGCAGTCTTCACCATCACAGCAGCAAGTAAGTGTACCTGCACGACCTCAACAACAGCAAACAATACCAATGCAAATGCAGGAATCGCAGCAACAGCAGCCCCCGTTCTCTGCAGAACAGCAGTGTCTAGATATGCAGCCAAAGAGCTGCTTGCCAGTGTTACAAAGTGGAGGTGATTTTGAAATGGATGATGAACTGGGTGCTAATATTGCTGATGACTGTAAGTTCTCAGTTAGTGTTTATAGACTTTTCACTTTGGCATTGTTTTAACTTTTAGAAATGCAAATCCTTAATTCTATAAATACAAATTTAATAAAGCCAAAGTTAAGCCAATATCGATTAACATATTGCAGTTGCTAATAGGACATCCCATTTTTAGGTGGTGATTACAATGATTTGGATTCTATTGAACCAATGACCGAATCGAGCGAATTTGGGGCAACGTTGATGGCTTCCCATCAACAGCAAATGCAACAGCGGCCAGCAAATACTCAGCAACATATGCAGCATCACCACCACCAACAACAACAACAACAGTACTACAGTCGTATGTTGCCTCCTCAAAATCGGTATGACATCCAATCACCAATGCAGCATCAAAGTGTTGGTTACATGAGACAAATGTGTAGTGAAACTCAAATGCGGCAGTGTAGTTTTCCGAGTACTCTCGGTCTCTCTCAGCAACAACAATCACTTTCTCGGGGTTATTCATCTCCACAGCATCAACAGCAGCCACCACAAGGGGCAACCAATTTATTTATGAGCCCACCACCACAACCAAGTTGTTCTCCAAGTCCTTATACTCCTCGATCATCACCCCAAAAAGATAGCAGCAACTTTACTGCCCGACAGCAGCAGCCGAGACATATTGCGGTAACACACCAACAGTATGCAGCATCACCATTGTCGCAGCAACAGTCTATTCGTACACCACTTAGTGCTCCACCAACTGTTCATTCACAGTCACAACTGCATCCAACTTGTGGGCGAATTGATGATTTACGATCATCGCGATCAGGTCCATTTACTTATTAATTCATTTGCATTTATAGATGCCATTGGTGCGATTGGACGTTCCATATACTATGAAATGAACTCAGACTAAAGTGGTCAGATAGTGACCGCGTTACTAAATTTTTAGAAAATGAGTTCCCTTCTTTAGATTAAAAATCATTAAATGCTGTTTATCTGCAATAGGGTCATATTGGCTGTATTACAGTGGTGATAAGGCTCCTTGTTTTATTAAAATCGAATATGTACATCTCCAATTTTTTTGGTACTGCAGACGTTTTTTTTGTCTATAAGTTTGAAAATGATTTATTTTCTTTTTCAGCGATTTAAAAATACATAGCTAAAACAACGACTGAAATTGGCATAGAAATATTTAGGTGAATTCAGGAATGTTTTCAGATGGTGAAGCAACACCACGAGCATCAACTACTGATTCGAACGTTGCTTCGATTGAATATGACAAAGATCCGATCAACTCTACTATAGGTATCTATGAAATCTTTTCACGTTATCTTTGAAAGTTGAATAAGAATTAGAAATCTAAAAGCTGCAAATTTTCTCTGTCAGAGAAAATTTGCAGCTATTGAAACCGATCTGGATCTGCATTAATCTATTAACTACTTAATCAGAAGGCACTTTTTCAATGTTTCAAGAAGAACCCACATTAATGCTTATCGTGCTTTTCATCTTTTTAATTGCAAGAATTTTGTCCTTTTACCTATCTCGGTATATTTTTAGTAAATCTATGTCTTCGATAATACTTTGAAATTATCCCATTTAGATGCAGTAGTTATGCGAGCACTTTCCGATCAAGACAGCTTTTCCTCGACAAGCATTTCGAATTATTTTCGTGGATCACGGAATCGTTTATCAACAAATATTCAGTCTTCGACGGCTGAACAGACTGGGACTAGTGACAGTGTGTATTTCGTTTTTCATTTGTACATTTGATTGTTGCTTGTTAATTTGATTCTAAATTCAACTCTTCTTAGTAAGTGAGCTTTTAGAGATTTGCTTTTGCCGGGGTAATGTGTAAAATCGTCGTAAAGTGTGCATATCAGTTAAAAGATCTGAATCCCTCTATTCATGTAGGAAAAATGATGGGTAACAACGTTAACAACAGTATGAGACCGGTGAATGCAATCAAACATCAACCTGGGCAATTTCAGAGCTCTCAACAAGGTTAGTTTTATTTCTTAGCAGATTGAGCGAAATGGTTTATGTAAGTTAGATTCTTATTTTTGAGCTTATGTTTGTTTAATCTCGTTTTTGTCTTTGGTTTGTATTAAAGCTCTTTGTATTAAAGATAAGCATCTAAAGCTAATATTTTTTATGATGTGGAAAAATCTTTGAATTCAAGTCATCTTAAAAATGCTTATCAATTTTGATTATAAAGGACAGTAAACTGAGTTTGAGCTAAGCCTATCCGTAAGTATGTTAGAGTGAAAACGGAAATAAGATTTTTTATAACGTTGAAATTTAGTATTTTGCTTTTGATGAGATAATGAATTTGAAATGACTCGAGTGTAGTTACACGAAGTTTTTCCAGCTCAGCAGTTTTCAAACACTGATGCAATAGAAGGTTCAGGAGTCGGAGCTAGTGGTTCTCATAATGGTCAGGCGACAGGGAATTCTGCCTTTCCATCAAGTAAAACGCCAGTTTCTGCTCAGCAGTTAGTTTCTGCAAGTCGTGAAAGTTTTCACGGTATGGTTTATGTGTATTTTTTCGCTAACCAATTTTCGTAATTATCGAATTTTAACTGTTTCCTTAACTTGTAAAGAGGGAATTCTTTGGCTGTTTTAAGCTTTAAAATTGTTGGAAAAAGAATCATGTATAATCTTTCTTTTATATTCATTGTTTGGGGTTATTTTGGTTCGCTTTCAAGGCAAATGATATCTTTCATATGTAATATTTTATTTTTTGACCTTAACGTTTCAATCATTGTCAAGATAATTTTTGGACTGTTTAAATTTTTATTTCAGGTGGAAATAGCGAAATGCATGGTCTCACTCTATCTGCTAGACAACAGAAGGACCAGAGAATTAGTGATCGAATTGGTGATCAAAGGTCAAACAACACAGCTGAACATCACCATTTGACCAACGGGCATGAATCACTGAACATGTTAAAAGTGAGTGGTTTAGTTTATTAATTTCAAAACGTGTTTCAAGTTATGATAGAAAATACTTTAACACGTTCTTTTTTCTTTTAGACGTTACTTGTGAATTCAAAGTTGAACATTATGCGTTAGCTTTATTACTGTCGATTACTGATTTCAAGACACAATGGTGCAGCATTCTCCAAAAATTTTAACATTGGATTTAGAGATTAGATTTGAGATACATACTTTTTTTGTCTTTTTTGGCAGTCTTCGTAGTTTTTTTTTTTTTTTTTTGTATTTCCTCTTATACATTATAAGTTGCCAGATGGTAAATGACTTTAATCTGTTTTTCAAATTTAGGAACGCGGATATGTTCAATCATGCAATGGAGTGCTTCCGCTATCGCAGTCAAATGATGACGAGCGAAGACTAACGGGTGGGTTGGTTTCAGCAGTGACAATAACTGATGTGCAGCAGCCGCAGAGATCTTCTCCAAAAGTTTCGGGGACAGCAAGGCGTAATCGCCGTAAGGCAGATTTATCGCTGGAAGCATTGTCTTATGATGACGAAGATGAAATTACCGTCCCAACATTTGGTTCGACTCAGTGTAATTTTTTTTTTTGTCAAAATTTCTGTCTTTTCCGTTTTAGCTCATGCATTTTCTTATCTGATATTTGTGTATAAGATAATAAGGTTCCTTTAGCTAATTTTTTCGGCATCGATCTCTTTTTGTAATATATTTAATAGAATGAAAAATTATAAGCAAAAAATCTTGAAATTTGTGATTTTCAATAATAATGATGAATTTAGCAGCGTATCAGGGTCCATATATAAGACGTGTAGGTGGTCCCGGTAGTATTGTTGTTGGATGTAGTGGGAACACTCCAACACAACCTCCTTTCGCTAATATCAGTGTACAAAGTGCTCAAAATAATTTTTCTGCCACAGTGGCTCGGCAGCAGCAAATGTTGAAGCAGCAGGTAAGGAGAAATTTTGTTAGATTCTGGATATCCACAGTCTTTATCGATGTATATATACATTTAGATTTTATTGAGAAAAGTTATATGAAAATGAATCGTTTCTTTCAAAACACGCTAATGAATTATTTCTAAATTCTAAACTACGCCCACCTGCCGTCTTACTGTCATCTCTGTTTCGTCGATTATAAAGATTATGCTTCAGCCGAAAACGTCGTAATTGTATAGAAACGATGGTACCAACTAATTACCACTTGTTCGAGTCATTTTTGATCACTGTGAAAAACAGCTTTGTTATGCTATGTTTCCGTTCAGTGCTATTCTGTTCAAATGGGAGTTCGGTTCGCGCTCAACTTTCAAATTAGGTCATGTTTCGTACTTGTGTTTTTTTTTTTTGTTTTGTTTTGTTTATCTTATTCGCCGTTGTTTTCATTTATGTTTTTAAACCGGTGTAGTTACAGGACTTGAAGATCGTACAATAATTTGCCGGAATTTTAAGATAATTTCACTAAGTTTTTATGTCACTTTCAGCTATTTTTTATTTGTATCTTGACTTTTTATACTAAGATTGGTTTTCTTATAACTGAAAGATGAAAAGTTGGAACTTAAATTTTAGTAAGTGTTGGCAAATATTAGTTTTGCTTGGAGTTAATGATTCGTCTAGCCCTTCTCTCAGTTTCAAAAATTATTTTTCCCATAGCGCAGTGCCATCTTTCATCTAAAATCCGAACATTTATGCCTTAATGAGGTCCCCAGTATTTTATCCTTGTCATTATTGCATTATCGTTTTAAATGTAAAATTCATTTTTCCATAGTTTTATTTCTCATTTTTTATTTTTTGAAAGTCGTATTAGCTCATGTTTGGTTATTTTGCAGAATATAAGATTTAGGGTAGAACTATATAGAAATTGTCAAAACTTCACAAAAATTAGCTTCGACATATCAAAAAGGAGTATCAGCTCATAGCCTGAAGAAGCTTATTTATACGAAGCACTGATCTTCGTGCGTAGTTTTGTCCCTGCGATCTCGTCGTTTTGCGTAGTCATAAAATTGTTTTGTCGTTTCATTTCTCTTGTTTTTTTATACTGTATATTAAAAGCATGCAATTCTCCAACATTTGATAATTTGTAGTGTGTTTTGTACGTTTAATAAGTTTTCATTATACTTCGTTTCATCTCTTCAATTAAGTGGATTAATTTGATGTGAAATTCAAATCAACATTGTGACAATGTGTCTCAATATTCTGTGGTTGTTTCAGTGTGCGTGCGTCATTTCTGCTGGGATATTTGCCACAATAGAACAATTTTCCTGTCACTATTTTCGGAAGTCTTTGCAATTCTCAAAAAGCCATTTTTCGTGCTAATGTTCGGTATATTGATAACGTGTGTCGTGTGCACTGTCTTCTCCTGTTTTTCAAATATTGTATGCACGCATGAGGAAAACGTGAAATGTCTTTCGATAATAATGTTATTTGTTTTCCCTGAAACGTTTTTTGTTTAATCCAAAATGATTTGATAAATCACGCAAACGCCTTTTGATTAGCGGTGTTTAGAATAGGCAGGCAGTAGGTGTTTGTTGGTGAATTAATTTCAAACGGTTTTGTTCATCTGAAATATGAACTATAATTATACATTGTATATTCGTTATTAAGACAGTCTTGTAATAAGTGTAACATAACCTGAAGTGACACAGTACTGATGCTCACTGGACTGACTGTATTTTGCTAATTTCGGTCTTTAAAAAAGTAACTGCTCGGACTTTACAGGTTGGAGAGAGAATAAATTATTGAGAGAATAAAAATTTGTTTTGCTGTTTTCTGTACTGCATACGCTTTCTAAAATTTAAACTGGGAGCCTGAAAATTCGGACTACTTATTTAGAAATAAAGATCAGTCTTAAATGCTGAACTAGAATTTTGAAAATCCCGTACCGAGTTGCCACATATTTACTGTCTTGCTTCATAGTTTTGAATTGCGGTATTCTATACTTAAATTATTTTGACTTTTTCATTCAAATATGTATACACGAAACGCGATGTTTTATTGCGTACATTAATGTGCAAGTAAACTGTACTGGTACATCCCTCCGTTATTCACGGTAAATTCTGACACACGAAAAGCTGTGCAATTTATGATGTGATAGTGTTCCACATCCCATTACCACAATGATTCCTTGAGGCAGAATTGCTGAAATAAATTTTGGAGTGATGCTTGCTGTTGATGAAGAAGAGAGATCTGACGTCCCACAATTCTCTGTACTAATTCGACTAAAATTAATTTAGCTTTGATTACATCTGAAGCATATCGAGGTACAATTGCAGGAGGAGCTCTAGGTCTCGATTGTTAAAATAGCATCTTCGACAATAAAAATAGAAACAAACTAAAACAGAGACTGGTGCAATTAAGCAGACGGAAGCTAACAAATAAACGTATATGTCGCACGTATTTCAAGTACTTTCAAATTATTATTAGAATAAGAATTAAGAAGTGACACAAATTATTCAATAACACACAGTATTCTGCAATAAAATTTCGTTATAGATTAAATTCTTAAAACATATAGAAATTTCTATGCATATAGAGAACATTTATCCAGTTAAGCAAAGATTAAGCTGAACAGCTTTATTGTAAACGTCGGGATATTAAATTCCTACAAATGATCTCAAAAAACGATGGTGGACAGATGATGTTCACAACACTTAGATTCCCTGAAGAACTGAATGAATTTTTGTCAGCGTCTTGTCAACTTAGTACTTCATCGATTATATCAAATTTCAATCAGAAAGCTTTCTATGATTAGGAAAAAAAAACAGAACCACTGTAAATATAAAAATTGCTGAAATTCAAGTGCACTAACTAAATAGAAAATTTCGAGAAAAACTGCTGTTAAAAGGTAACATATAATACAACTATACTAAGAACATAACAAAAGGTGAAGTTCATTTATATTACAGAGATGGGAATGCAGTATTCTGCAATAAAATATTAAAATAGTCAAATTCTTCGTAAATATCAAAAAATCAATCTATACATTATCACCACTCAGTAGCAGTACAGTTGCCAGATGGCACACAACAGACTTGTTGAACAACAGAGAGAGTTGCCTGCTCACGATGATTTAAATATTCCAATGTAACCGATATGTCAAACTGCATATTAACATAGAGCGAAGTCAATTGCGCAAATGGCGCTTGACAGTATTCCCTGCAAAGAAGAAGGAACTGTTAAGAAGACGTTTCAAAGTATGAAATTATTTCTAAATATAATTGGTGCAACAACTAGAAAAAAAACATTTTCCATCTATCTAAATAATATTTCTTACAACAAAGTTCATCACAACATGTTGAAATTATTTGATGTAAAAGCCAGCATTTAATCATCAACTTCATAATGAGCCCTTTTAGAAAAACAAACTTACGCGACACCACCTTTTAGTGTCACTGTATTGTTGAACTGCAACTTTCGACTATTTCTTGGTCCAACAAATACATCAGTGGTGTTGCCACCAACACCAATGACGTCTGTTGACCAAGGTTGAAATTTCGATAAGACTGTAGCCGATGAATTTAGCACTTTTACAGAATAGTAATTTGCATTGGATATATTGAATTCGTTCTACAATAAATTTCTCACAAACATATAAATTTTACGAGTATAGCAGACATATCCATGTTATGTGTACAAGTATGTAACGCAATGAAATTTTTTTGCGGTAATGAAATTCTTCAAAAAAAAGTGAATGAGTTACAATGATTTGAACTACTCATGTCTTGAGCAACTAACAATTACCTCGTATGGAATTATTACTTTACAAAAGTTCATTTAATGATAACACAGTTCTATCACCATCAGTCAGCATGAAACATGGTAAACTGGTAATAGCATAAAGGGAATATTTCTCAGATATTCACTTGCTAAAACTAACAGAAATGAAAGTTACAAGACTTAATAATAAAGGGAGTTAAAAGTTACCATAAAATGAAAACTGATATGATTACTCATGTGGTCAAAAACTGTTATGATTTCAACTGGTGGCTTTGTGCTAGTTAGGTAAATCGCGCGTGGTACCAATAAGAAAATTACAACACCTGCCAATGAGAGACAGCCAAGAACGACGCAAAAAACGTAAAGCCAGCTGCAACACAGTATACATTAAAATCACTTATATGGAGGACTAAAATAAAACTAGAAATTAAACTATCTTAACTAAAATTAAACAGAAAACTGTCAATAAGAAATGGTAACATACGTTCTTTTCGGTTTCAAACGATCGTCATTAACTGGAATTAGAGCCACCAATGTTTCCTCTAATTCTGAAAAAAAAAAAAAAACTACGAGTATTTCGTTTCAAATGAAATGTCGATTTCCCAACAAATAAACTTTCAGAGAGGAAGAGCAATACATTAAGCAGCAAATTAAATAAAATTCTACCTTTCGGGATTCGTCCAGAACCCTTACAACTTGGACAAGGCACTGAACCTTCCATTAGTTCAGTATAACCCATTGAGTTGGCTCTCGATGGAATGCCACATTCATTCGCGAGATTTATTGTGGAACCAAACGATGAACGATTACCAGTAAAAGTACCACTGATAACACGATGACGCACCTTATCTACCAGATTTCTGGTACCTTCGACGACTGAATACATGTTAAGTCGTGTTTCAGCGTGCAAGCTAGCAGCACTTTAATACACAAAAGTGACTGAAACTATTTTGATATAGCAAAATACATATTCAGTATTTACTTATTTACTTCTGAATAGTATAAACCTTTCGCAGGAGTCGGAGAAAACCTGATTACATCAGGAAACAAAGAAGTATGCAAATGCAGTACTCAACAAATTCTGCATCTCATTGTAAGACGGGAACAAAGATGGCTTACATAGAGTCAAACATGCATCAATTACCAAGAACTCTGATGTATACGAATTATATTTCAATGTATGCAATACATCTAAATAATTATTGAATAAATGAAATACTAGTTACTCATTCAGTTGGAATGAATATGCTAATAAGTTAACAAACAAATAAGCAACCAAAGACAACAGAAATCAGGCGTTTCGTTGTATCTTGCTGTTGATAAAAGTAAAAAGACAAAAAAAGATTGGCACAGAAAACATATCATCCACACGATTCCCAGCGAGAACCCAACTTTTCTACAGCTAAGCGAACTAGATTTGAAGTCAAGTCAAAAGAACTGACCTAAAACACTTATCAACCATGCAATTTGGAAAACATATAATTTGGAAAAAGATGTATTGTAAAAATAAGATTTTAGCAAGAATTTCTTTTACTTAAATTCTTCTGGAAGATAATGTTTCTTTACAGAATACCGAAGTTATAGTCGACAAAAGGTTTGGAAGCAATAAATTTCGCAACAAAGCTCAAACAATTTATATACATATATATTCAAATGTTTATCAGATATTTACTTTAGATAATCTTATCAAAAATATCTATAATGATATTAAAAGCAAGGAAAAATGTCCTTCGTTAAAACAACAAAAGACTGATCATGAATATATCAATAAATTAGCATCCTAAATATGTGCCACGTCTTCGTCACTAGAAGCCGCATGAAAATTCCCTCGATACCGTAATAAAATTCCAAATTTTGTTTGCAAAAGTTCGGACAATATTCCTGGTGCAGATTCATCGTAGATTGCATCACAGAGAGGCAACAACTGAAAAGAATTGGTGAAAATTATTAATTGAATTTGATAGTAGGTAAAATAATTATTTTTTAACCTACTCCTTTCGTTAAATATTACGAAAAATAAGAGTTTTAGATGCTATTTTTGGTTGCTGATTACAATTTATCGAGAGTAATCGTTGGTAAATAATATACGCTACAGCTTTTAATGAGATCAAATGAAGGAACAGTCTCGCATCAAAAAATTATAAACATCAGCGCATAAAGCATTGTTGTAATATATATAATGGAAGGAACAAGGAAATTTTCGATATAATATGGATAATTTCTCAGAAATGCTGGATTTGTAAATTCGTAAGGAGTCGATTTTGGTATATTTTTTTTTCAGAAATTTTTTTTCAGAAAAATTTCATAAAAATTTGAAAAAATTTTCAAATATGGATGCGTATGAAATTAAGGTACTAAAAACTGCAGAAAAAATTTTTTTCTATTTCCAGTGATTTGAAAACATTTTGATTGAACCAGAATCCATGCAGTGAAAAAATATAACCGAAGAAAGAAAAATATCGCTGACTTGAGAAATAACAAATACTGATGTATATTGTTGCAAAGACGATTGCGGCGCACTTTTCAAATGATTTAAATATTCACTCCAAAGCTTCACCATGAAGGAGTCAGTGAGATAGCGTAAATGTGAAGATCTAGAGAAATATTGTCATTTCCTTATAAAACCTGTACTACATCTCTTCCTTGAATGTCAAATATATGCAAGGAATGATTTCGACAGTTATAAGAACAACATTACAAAGTCGAAAAAATCTCGACATTACAGAAACAGTTCAAATTCTTTTCATTTTAATAACCTTATCATTGCAAGGTCGCGAGCCAACATAAAGGCAACCCGAGAAAAGTGGCAGGCATTCTGGGTAATATTAATGGAAGAACACTGCGTGGTAGACAGTGCCCAATCAACTGACAGTCCCATATCAGACATTTCCTCTATAAAACGATTCACATTCGATTCACTTTCCATATGGTATGCTTTCCAACGCTCTTCCTAAAAATGTTTATGAAGGAGCTTAAGGAACTGCACAAAGTATCTATAATATATTGTGAATTTTACAGGAACAACTTTGGGAGAAAAATTTAATTCTTTGGCAAACATATGGAACATTATATTAGGGTCACAAAAAAATTAAGATTTAAAAATCGACAACTTTGAAATTCAGAAAGCAATAACTTAAACTAATGCAATCCATTCTCGACTGATGGTAATTATACTCCAGTAAAGTCTCACCGCTACGAAAGCAAGAAAGTTTCCTAAGATATTATAGAACATACAGAAACTCGAAGACGAACTGATTCGATTATGTTGCTAAAATTTGTTTCAATTGCAATCTTAAGTGATGGTGCAAGCAGACGATGTACTTCAAAAGACAAATCAACACCAACTGTAATTAAATTATCGCAATGCATCATCAATATTCGCCAAGTATGTGCAAGCACTGCCATTGTTGGTGCCACCTAGAAAAAAAAAAAAAAAAGATTTCTAGAATTTTCCTCTTTTCAGAACTTTATTGAAATAAATCTTGCATGCACACAAACTGGCAGAATGATAATTTTCTTCTTTTAAAACAAATTCCATAGTGATAAAAGCCCTTCCAAACCGATTAATGTTTCATTGATTATATACCTCGATAACATGTTTTCGTATTAAAGACAGCATAACACTTAATTCACCAGAACACCAATGCAATATAAGAGAAAAGTGTTCAGGTTGCATCAAGAATTCCTTAACAACATCTGATATAACATCTAAAAATTGTTGTGATAACTGTCGTACATACGACAATGGTTCTTCACTCATTGTCAATTCTCGAGTAGTTGTCCGCAGCTAAAAATGAATCAAAAAGAAGAATTTATGAAAAAGTATCATCCGCAGTGAGAAAGTTGGCAATTTCAAACTTGACTTATGATACTTTCATAATTCAGGAAATTTCGTGATTTTATAAGAACGGCAGTGAATTCTATCATTAAAAATCTCTATATCTTATCTTAAAACTGAAACTTCCAATGCCAATCATTTTCAATCACGTGTTAGTGCGACAATGACAAATGATTATCCAATATAGGAAACACCATCGTAAAAGTGCCAGTCAAAATCAACTGTAAAAGCCGAAAGCTATGCTTTATATCAACGGAAAGTCCTATTGGATAGGAATCGAACATTAAAAGAAATGGATAGAAATCGGGCATTAAATAAATTATATGAACAGCTCTTATTCCGTAGATTTTCTAATCTTTAAACAGTCTAACAAAGGTTTTCCAATCGTAAGAAAAAATGCACTTACTCATACATTTGAAGTAACAGTATTCAAAAAACTTTAAATGTCCATTGCCATTCTTCATCATCTCATACCCGAAGAAAAAAAAAAAAAAAAAAACACAAACAAGTAACTAACCACTGTGCTCCTTTTTTTCAAGTAAAGGTCAACTGCTTGTGAAGCTCGGCCAAGAATCGTTAAAAGATTGATTGCTTTCTTGATAGCTCGAGGACCACCATGTAAAGCACCTGGACGACGAACCTGCACTAATAAAACATAAAATTGAGTTATAAAAATAAACCTCACTATATCAACTTTCCAAAAGCATTTCAAGGGTTCCATTGTCATTGTTGAAAAATCATTTTCGTGTTAATAAAATCACCTTGCCTCTTCGCTAAGTAACTGCACAATTTGGGTTTCACGAAGTATCAGCTGTGCATCAATTGTTGCTTCTTTTGTGTTGCAACTTTTCCATTCCATTATCAACTCTACCTAAAATACAGATTTGTTCGATCCTTTAATTTCAAAGTCCATACTTCTCCGAATCAGAGTTTTATCCCACTTCGACCACAAGCTTCTCTAAGAATTCAAATATTTTCTTATGAATTGAACTTCGAAAAGTACCGCGTGTTCCATATCTCGATGAGCAATGCAATCATCCAATTCTGCAGGCAATTCATTGAGCCATGCACTTTCATCAGGTGATTTAATAGCAACCGACTCCGCAACCGGCATAAATTGATTACCTAATTCCATCTTCGCTGACAGGTCATGTCGACGTTTCCCACGGATTGTTGCTTGACGTACTAATGATCCCTCATGAAGGAGTTCTCTTTTGGCATTCTCGATGCAGTCCAACCATTCTTTTTTAATTCGGGCATTTTCAGCAAGAAAAACCTGTTTGGGAATGTTTCTTCAAGATTAAATTAATTTCTTGACGTAGTCTTATATACTTGAGGATGAAGCGTATTGAAAGAAAATACGTGTTCCCAAATTTAACTGAGTTTAGTTCCTCTTTCAACTCCTCTAGTATACATATTTTCTCTTAACCATGTATTTTTGTGGTACCTTATTGATAGAATACCTCCATATAGACAAAATACCTTTGTCCTGGAAAAATCAATAACTTAAACATGCTGGTCACAGTTTCGCCATTTTCTCTATCCTTGATATTAACAGCTGCTATATTATTCAACGGATGTGAAGATTCCAACTGAAAACGATATTTTCCTAAAATAATAACATTTCTTAAACCATATATGATACCACATATAAATGAAAATAACCGATGAAATTTTACAAACCAGAACACATGAAGAAATATAACCTGAAGATGGTTGTCCAATGAGTAGTCGGTCTGATAACAAAATAAGCATTACATTGTGTTGTGGCCGCATGTTGTCGCTGTCCAACTGAACTACTTCACCGTGCATGATTACTCGATCAGAAGTTGGTAAATTATTTAACATAGACTGCAAGGGACAAGTTGCAAGTAAGTGGAAATAAGCCATAAAAGAGAGATATATCACTGTTGCTTTGAAAGTACTGCCTACTATCAAAACTTATAATTGAAAACCTACAGCAATACCGTCCATTTTCTGCATCAATACATTCATTGGGTTAACGCTGAATGAAGAAGTGTGAAGACTGGCAGTTCCAATGGAAGAACGATCTTCCCCAGTCATCTGCATCAGTGTTTCAATAAGCATCCGTTGATCTGATAACAGTGATGAAAGTTCATATATTTCCCGTTCCAGATCTAAAAAGAAATAAAAGCTTGCAAAGAATATAAAAAAAAAAAAAAAAAAAAAGCTTATACAAGAAAAGTTAGTAAAAAAAGAAAAAAAAGAAGCAAAAGAATAAAGAAATTTTGAATAGAAATATAATACAACTGAAATTGTGGATTTATATTTGTATTTGGTTAATGAACCGTATTCGTATGCAATATTTTAAATTCTTTTGATCACTTTGAAATGACAAAACATGCTTAAATTTTACAAAACGATTAAAAAAGTCTACGAAATTAAAAAAGTTCAGAGAGTTATATAATTACATAACTAATCGGTTAACAGATGAAAAAAGGTTCCAGGGCTCGTATTGTTTAGACATTTGTTACCAAAATCGTCAGCAAAATCTATTGTAGAAAAAGCACAAAGAAATCTTTTTAACCTTACGTATTTGGGAGAGTATTAATGGAATGGATCAACGGCAAAACTATATAGTGCTGAAAAGGAAAAGGATATATTCAACTCTATGAAGAAACGTAACATGAAACTTCTCTGGCAGTATCGATGAACTTTTTATAATTCAAAAAGACACTCTTCTTCACTAATTCCGATGATTGTGCATTAGCTACATTTAATCTAGCGTGAAATGCTTGCAACTGTCGTGTTTCATCGCCACTTTTCATACCCTTTAACTGGTCCCGAACGTCTAAAACGATTAAAAACTAAAGTTCTTTCACTTCATTTCTAAAAATGAAACTAATTTGCCAGGACTTGACTTGTCATTGTAATCCGCGTCAAAATCATGTTTGGGAGACATTCAGCTACAAAAGTGGAGTGAATTACACTTTGGAAGATAAAGTAACCTACACCTATAGCACCAGAAAAAATTTTAAAACTTTACAATACATTTTTTAGTTAAAAATTCAGCAAGTTTGAAGTGATATCCAAAAAAAAATTTTTAAGCAAAAATACCAACAAGATATTGCGTCAAAATCCTCTTCACTAAAGTGATCATCAATCATCGAATTTTCCATAGTATTTGAAGATATCATCGAAGCCTTCAGGGAATATTTTAAAATGGTAAAAATGAACGAAACAGTCCATCTACACAACTCCAAATACACAATAGATGGAAGCACACGCGACCGACATAACTTACAACGACAAGCATACTTCAAACATGCCAAACACTCCAATCTTGATAAATACCCTCCTCTATCCACTTTGTCAACCCCTCCTCTCTGATCCACTCCCCCTCCCTTCATTGATGCAGCGAGGAATCACGGAAAGCGCTACAACACAAAAATCGGTTGGCGGTTTTTTGAAATGAATTTATTTAGGTTGCAGTGGTGTTGAGTACATGCCATTGAGCGGTGATTTGTTCCCGATATGGCTAAAAGTGATTTGTTCCCGATATGGCTCAAAGATTAGCATCCGGGAAACGAACATTGAAGGATTAAGCACACTAAGTGATTGATTGATCGGTTGATTCATATGCCAGTCCTAGAATGCTTTTATCGATCTTGAGAATGACCTCTTTCTTTATAGTGTAATAGCTCAACGAGTGATTTTTCTTAATTAACATTTGCAGCAATGGGTGTGAAGGATCTGTCAAAGGTGATCGGTGACCATTCGCCAAATAGTATACGACTTAAGGAATTTAAAGGATATTTTGGTCGAAAAGTAGCAGTGGATGCATCAATGTGTCTCTATCAGTTCCTCATTGCAGTGCGACAAGATGGATCACAGCTTCAGACCGAAAGCGGCGAAACAACGAGGTGATTAATTAATAATACTTATAGTTGTAAAAAGCTGGATCTCTAAGATGACGATGAGGCACCTTGTCGAATATTAGTGCTCATGTGTTTACACCTCACTATACACCGTTACGTGAAATCTTGCCAATGTAATAAATGGTTTGATTCCGCACAATAATCCACCAGCTTGCTCGTATTGGTTCCAAATTCTTGGTAATACTTTGAAATGTAGTCCGAGAAGCAAAAGCATTTTCTTAGTAAATAAAGCTAAAGTGAACTTTGCAGCATAAACACAGGCAATTTTTAAGTTTGATTATAGTTATTTCTTTGAAGAAGAAATAGTTTGCAACAAATCAGTGTCCCATTTAATTGCTAATTCATCTGGAGCAAAACATTATATGCGAAAGTATTAAGGATGACTCGATCTTTTTTCAAGTCATTTGCTTGGCATGTTTTATCGAACTATTCGAATGATTGATAACGGAATAAAACCAGTATATGTATTTGACGGCAAGCCACCGCAGATGAAAACAAGTGAATTGGAGAAACGTACCGAGCGAAGAACCGAAGCAGAAAAACAACGAAATGATGCAGTCGAACTGGGAGACGAGACGTCCGTTAACAAATTTGAGAGACGTCTTGTAAAGGTTATCACTTTTACGTTTCAAATTCTTCAAGAAGAAGAATGTTTACTTGGATTATTGTGCCATATTCTGTTCTTTGTTTCACTTTCAGAACTTTTTCGTTTTATCCACAGTTCCTTTTAGATAGTTAAACAAGGATAGAAACCGAATGAAAGTAGTAGTTCATTAAAAATTTTTCTTGTACTGCAAGTATGTTCTTTCTGTGTTATTACCATTAGAAAGTGTTTATTTCATACACTATAAATTATATCCAGTAAATTGGGAATTTGCAGCATTAGATTTTTTTTTTGGATTTTCAATTTATTGCTTTGTAATTTGAAAAGTATTTGTTGCTTTTTACTTTCTGTAATGCCTAGGAAGCATACATGAAAATTATTTTGTTGTGTAGTGCTGTTTTGGTCAAGTTTTCTGAAATTTGAAGGTTACAAAAGAACAAAGTGAAGAAGCTAAACGGCTAGTAACGTTGATGGGAATTCCAGTCCTGGATGCACCATGCGAAGCAGAAGCTCAATGTGCTGCTCTTGCGAAAGCTGGTAAAGTGTTTGCTACGGTTTCTGAAGATATGGATGCACTGACTTTTGGTTCACCCATTCTTTTGCGTCAAATGATAGCAAGGTTAGCCAAAAATGATTCGCAGAATGGCTGGAGTTCGTTGAAATGTGCTAGCCTGTGCTAATTGAAGCCAAATAATGTCATTCGGAATAGAAATATCAATTCCTTAGCAACAATCTACCAAATTTTTATCTGATTTGGCATCCTGTATAATTTACAACTATTCAAGCATGAATTTTTGTTGAAATATAGTTGCCTATTATATTAATCAGATGCTATTATGCCACCGTGATTGCCTGGTATTTCTTGTAACTACAAGCCGTGTTATTCTAACTTCAGAATTTTAATAAGGTAATCTCATGCAGTTCACAGTTACCTTTTCTTTATCATCTTAAATTCAGTAAATGTTTAGTTAAATTTTTAATGGTTTTTAAGCTTTTTATTTCAGCGAAGCTAAAAAACTGCCAGTGAAGGAAATGAATTTAAATCAAGTTTTGAAAGATTTCGGGATGAATATGGGACAATTTGTAGATCTCTGTATATTGCTGGGTTGTGATTATGTATCAACAATTCGGGGCATTGGTCCAAAAAAAGCATTTGAACTTATCAAGAAGTATGAATGCATAGAAAATGTTCTTGAAACAATTAATCAAACGGTTTGTAGGTCT